TTTGAATCTCAAGTAAGTGTATTTGAGACAAGAATCCAGTACAATTATCATCAACACATATTAGCACACAAATCGTCACTACGCACCTATGCACTGCCGTTTCCTTCTAGCTAAAGTATACAACTTACAGCTTAGATCTCCAGTAATGCCATCTCTGAAGCAGATTTTACATCAGAGACAAACATTGATAACTGAAGCCTCATGACGCTAAGCTAGTGCTAAGTTAACATCTCGAAGAAAAACCTACATAATGTCACACAAAAAACCAATACAATGTCATAAAAATCGACATAATGTCACTTTTCGAAATACGTAATACCCGTGCCGGGCGCTGGCCGCATTGGTAACCAAACTTTTATACATCGGTTTTAAAAAGAAAAAACAAATATGGCACACGCAAAGAGCAATATCGGAGTTGTCTATATTAGAGGCTTCGCGAGTACGTACATACCGTGTTCGTGAGTTCTTTTTTTTGCTTGGGGCAAAACGAAATGTCTATTGTATAAAATTGAGGTGAACATGGTTGACGAACTACGTGCGCATATGTAGCAATCTGCTGCATTCATTCGGAAAAGGCATTCTAAAACAATACTTACAAGCGACAGAGATGTACTAAAATTTTCTTTTTGATGAACGAGTACTTACCACTTTACTTTTTTCACTTTTTTGCTGTCGATTCACCACACTTTGTCTTTGTTACTACAAACGTAGTTGAAGGGCATAACTTAGTAGTTATTGTGGATAACACTTAAAAACAAACCAGTTCTTATAACGCATACCTTAGAGAACTCGACATCGATAATATATGTACCAGGAACTTCTTAAAGTTTTGAAGCCATATTTTACACACGGTTGCCCACTTCGCCGCCGCCCCCGCAGGAGTGTAGGTGGAAGATACTGAAGTATCTGTATCTTGGTTACTCCTTGAAAAATCATCTGTAGCAGGTTTCCAAGAACTCCATATCCAGACCGCCAGCTTTACTTCCCTGACAAATTGGCGCTGAAGTATTGTAATCGCACTAAATTTGGAGAACTATTATGTATGTATCGAAGAAAGAGACTAAAAGTATCCGCCAAGAAAAAAAATCAACGATGCCATAGATAACTTCGACAGAACCACCATAAGGAGGGGAGATGTAAATGACATCTAAATCGCTAAAAACCGTGTCACTCATTTCTGTCGGTATTTCCCATGTCTGCGTCTGTCTGTCTGTCCTCTAATCGTTAACCTCTCCATAACTTTGAAAGTACCACTTCGTTTTTTACGTTTGAAAGACTCTTGCTTATTTTATTTTTTTTTGTTTTGAAAATTAGTTGGGGTTGTAGCAGGTGAGGGTGTATACGTTGTATCTTTGGTATCAATGTAAGACGTTCTACCATTAAACTGCTCTTAATTCATGTAATCTCCGTATCTGTTCGATATATACTAAGTGACATATAAATCCGAACACCCAGTTTAAATGGTTTTATTTTAATAAAATTTTGTATAAGTACTTAATGAAGCATAATAAGTAAATGATAAAAATTTCAAAATGATTGCACTGCTTTAAAGCCCTTTGACCTTTAATAATGTGTGGATGCACCCTGATGTGCTACGCATTCTCCAAAAACAGTATAAAAACCGGAATGTCCATCTGATAAGGCTGAAAATTTTTTCACTTGTTATTTACAGTAAGATAAGTACATTCACCAACTTTTATTAAAATAAAACCATTTAAACTGGGTAATCGGATTTATATGTCACTTAGTATATTATTCATACATACAGTGCCTTTTAAAAAGCCCCCTTCCTACTCATTTTTTTGAACGACTCAAGACGCTGGAATTCAGGGTGATGAAACTGACATACGAACACTATATTTTGACATGGGGCATTTCAAAATTTAAAGGGCTGCTGGGCTGGGCTGGAACATTTTTTTAGTGGAACAGGTGATACGTGATAACTTATAGGTAGATAAGTCTTTGGAAAAGGTGGATTGGCAATCTGTCAAAGTCGAGCATTTTCGTACAGTAAATCACTTATAACTTAACAACCAGCGCTATAGTATTCTTCTTCCCTTAGGATGACCGTCAGAATATGTAAAGAATATGAAAAATTACATTAGAAAAATGATAAAATCTGTCAATTATTTTTAACTGATAATTCATCGCACTTCCAGATAGAACCTCCCAAAAGAAGAAACACATGGTTCGTAACTAGATAAGCGATTGAATGTGTAAAAAACGTTGACTTTTGGCAGCTCATCAGTCCGCCATTTTGAAGCATAGTAAATTTATATTGTAGTGCTAAAGAGTGCTAGTAAAGAGCTTTGAACTTAGGTACCTCACGGTCCCCCCGTTCCTTTTATAAAATGGTGGCAGTTAAAATAAATAGGAATGACCTTTTTGACAAGAACTGTAGGCTAATTTATAACTCGGCCAGTTTAAGAGACTGTTCAGACTGATCCATTGGGTTACCAGACCGTCAACGTCAACTAGCACCACTCGTCCAAATCTCCACGGACCAGGGTCGACCCTGCTCCCTCATCGCTGGCTTCCCTCGTAACCTATACGGTTTTTAAATAAGCTGAACATCATTTGATTGAAGACAGAATTGCAGGAACTACGTTGTCAGCCTGACTGACGCTATTTTTTGGTTATACAACTGGGCACGTCGACTCAGCTTCTGTGGGGCCTCCCACAACTTATTTCCATTGATCATTCGCTTTGAGGTAACCTTAGTTTCAAGACTGAAGATCAACCGTAGCTCAAGTCGCATTTCAAAACTTTCTTCCAGTGTCCGAGCATTTCCAGGAATCGTTGTCCAGTGCCCTCAGATCTTTACGTTATAGATCAGGCAGCAGTAATGTCATTGTGCTTCTTCTGGTTACTGTAAATCTTTCCTCTGAGCGGGTTGCATATGCGATAGATGATACCGTTGATCCTCTAGAAGGTTTTTGTAAGAACCTTCTTATGTGCAACTATTTCAAATCAAAGTATCAACTTTCTAGTCAATGCTCAACAAAAAATTTTCCATCAGCTCTCGGAGCATTTTATATAAGAATGTGAATTCCAGTGAATCATCGTCTCGGATATACATCTCGAAGAAGTGAATAAGCAGCAAATTATACCATCGGTAAGCGTAATTATTATGTAGAAGCGAGTGAATATTGTTTTATTGTTTATAGGAAGGCAAAAGGCGCGTTTTTGCTGATTACGGATTGGATTCCTCCGGCCGCCACAGTACTCAAAGAACCGAGGAAGTCGTGGTATTGTTTTTCTCCCTAGTTGCCCTAGAATCTATTGTAGTAGGCACTACCACAAATTCAAATTATGGAGGAAAAGGTTTTGTCCACCTGGTTGGCTCCGTGGAGGTAATTCATTAAAGGATAGTTCATAGTCTATCCAGGAGTGAATAGATAATCGTGCATCAACCTTGTACATGCAAATGTCTTCTTGTTGTAGTGGTGAGGAGGTGAAGCCTGATACATGCTTGTCCTGTCTGTCGAGCCTTCCTAGTCTCCTACTGAAGGTCAGGATGTCCGACCACTCTGCTGAATGGGAGACTTCACTATCAAACTCCACGGCTCCGAGTATCTCAGCCATTAAGGTGAGGTACGCGGGGCAGAAGTCTCGGTAGTGTAGCGCTGTTTCGTTCTCTACGACCCTATCTGCACCTGTGCTGGGACATGGGGCAGATAGGGTATCTTTTTACCATTCAAAGGGACAAGTGTCTTTTCGATTTACAGTGGCTGGTAAGGACTCCCAAGAGAAGATTGAATTATTCCGTACTTCTGTCAAGTAGTCAGCGCGTCCGACGTTCGAGTCCCGCTACAAACCTCTTTGCCTGTATGCAGTCGTCTCTCTCTCGCCACGCTATTCCCAGGTCCCTATATGCACATTCGTTCAATGCGGCGTTGAATTGGCACCTGCCTAAGCCCAGCCTATGCAGTAGACCGATACAGAGGCTTCTGGATCCTTGACTAACCAAATAATCGGCTCTATCGTTACCTGGTACTTCACTGTGTCTGGAAACCCAAAGTAGGGTCACCCCTTTAGAACGGACCAAAGGTCAAAAGATCAGTTGTGTGTTCCTGGACTGAAGGTAAACTTGTGCTTAGTGATGTCACCACCTTCAGAGCCGTTTGACTGTCCGAACATATGCTCTGCGCATTGCACTGTTGTAGTTCCTCTGAATATGCCTTCATTAATAGGGCAAGCATTTCTGCCTGGCAAACTGTAGTCTAGGTTCCAAGCGCAAGGTTTCGCTGCACTCCTTTGCCTTCTAGGTAAATTCTCGGCATAACCGGATGAAACACATCATCAGTCGGTGAAGTGAAAATCTATTCTTCCCATCCACCCAATCTGTCCTTGCAGGGATAGTGAGTGAGCATTTCAAATCTGTTCATATGATGTTTTTGGCCTCACCGAGTCTTACCGCAGACATGGTGAGACTCTTTTACGGTACATACTTTATCCCAAAGTGGCCATCCACCGGTTTTCGTGTCATTCACGTAGCCTTATAGCGCATCCTTAGGCAGACAGTCCCAAGACTATGGATCGCTGAATGGATTGACCTGACTACGTTTTCTTGTTCTCCTCTAAAATTTACTAAATGTTGGTTAGGACACTTCGTGAGAAATCCGACTACTCGAAGCAACATGTTCAACAACAAAAGTTGTTTGATATCAATTTTGGGCAGTCGATAAGGACGTAAATATTTTGCGTAAAGGAGACCGCTGAAGTGAAAAGTGAGCAGAGGGAAGAAAGCCAGATGTGTCTGACCCTGATCTGAACGAACGATTCTCTTGGTTTTGTTGAAACATAGGCAAGCCCACTGTAAGGCAGACTTCCAAGGAAGATTGCTTCCGACTGTGATGGTGGATTCAATCGAAGCCACTACATTGACATCGCCAGAGTAAGAAGTCTTTCGTTCGTTCCTCGGACATGAATATAACTGTAGTATAAAGAAATCAGGTAATCTGACAAGCTTCTTAGATTTCCTTTTTTTGCTCTTTTACTTTCTCATTCCTTCCACAAAAGTACGGCTGGCTAAATATGATACTTCTTCTCTTACCTCATCTGCACTAGCTTTGTTGTGTGTTGCTTCGAACGGGAGAAATAGCTTTATACATATTCCCTGCTGTTGATTTTCTCCAGTTGTAAGTCTATAATTTCTATATTAATATCTTGGCATACCAAAGATATTGGACGATAGACACATAATACACATAAGGAAAAAGTCATATACGAAGCCACAGCAAGGTAATTTAGTTTTAATTACATCTTTACTTAGTTATTACCAGCGTATTATCGGATCGAAATTGCCAGTTTAGCGCAAGTTAATCTCATTGTGGATCTTGATCCTACTTTTATTGCAAATCGTCGGACGGGCAGGCGATTATGAGAAATTTGCCAGATAATGGTTTGTCATGAGTGTTACCTAGTTATACCATCATTGTTGTAGCTATGTCGGGTATGATCAAACGTGAGTCAACGCCTGTCGGTTTTGATCAGTTTCAATTTGAAACAAATACGAGAAAACATATTATGGTCTGTGATCCCACTCTGGGCCTTGGTCGAGGCAGAAAAGCTCAACAGTATTTCCATGTCTGCCTGTCTTGCCCAAAGTATGAGATTCTTTAGAAGAAAATCTATCGAATAATCCAGAATGAAAACATTTCACGCAGAACCATTTATACAATAGCGGAGTGCGAGCAGGGAATACCATGTCTGGATCTCCCAAAAGCTGTCAGTACTGCTAGTACCGCTACTTGGTGCCTCATTAGAAACGAATATGACCACCATTCTTATCACTAATTTTGGCCACGAGTTCATTTATTATCATAATCCTTGGGCACAATGGAATCAACACATAACTCAGTGTAATGTTAATCTCATGAAAATTATTACTGTTATCTTTGGTTTTTCAAGCTGTTGATACAAAAAAGGGTTTTGTGATATTTTTGGGATTCATTGCAACCGTGGCCTTTAATCGTCGTCTAAAAATAAAGTGGGATAAAATTGTTACTTGAGGAAACTCTTACCTTGATTAATGTGATTATTGAAAAATTGGTGAATGTGCAAATTCATCAGTATTTATTATTTGATACTGTATTTATTTATTTTCCTAGCGAAGTCGTAGATCTCATTCAATGTATTTCTTCGGTCAGTTCGGCAAGCTCTTAGGTAGTGAGCATCAACCAAGTGATTTCTAAAATAATTTATTTTGTTACTGAAAATACGTGATATTCGTGGTGAAACTGATTCCATATAGATAAGGCGATGTAGCCTCAATATCAAAAATATATCTTCAGCGACATAATAATTTAGTTTTGAATTCTTTGGGTTGATGCTCTCTGAGCTAAAACTTTTGCTTTTTTGTACTAAAGTGCGTACAACTCAAGGATGTCGAGCTTATTTGTCAATTGTCGATTAACACTTTTTCTCAAGACTTTTCGTTTTTTATCCTATATTCGCATATTTACTTTCATTGTCATATATCATAATCAATCAACGTATCAACCAACTTATGTTGTATACCGTAACATTTCTCTGTGAGTGTTTGGAGGTTAAGCAAGGATGAAATTTATTTGATGATGATGATGCAATATCCTAGAACAGGTCTTGTTATGGTACAATATGGTATTAAATCACAATCTACTGCAAAGGTGGGATAAAATTGCAACACGGTAAATAATCACACGTTTAATTGATGGAAATGAATAATTCAGCATATTAAAGCAGTTCTAATTTCGCAGAATGGAATCCAGATCATTTAACCTATTATTTATCTTCGAATCTAATGACGTATGGCCGCATATTACGTCCGTAGGTATTTTAATGCATTTTGCAGGTATGCCGTGATTACTAGCGGTCTGCAAGTCGTTTTCATTTCTACAGGATAGCTGTACCTACGCCTAAGTAGAAATGAAGTCAAGTACAATTGTATTAGTCACACAGGTAGTTCGAAGGAATGAGGCTCAAGCGCGGCGACGTGTTTTGTGTATAGATAAACAACTTTTTTAGATACTAGAATTTTCATAATATCCATGTGTCGATATAACGTAATAGTCCATCACTAAAATTGGAGGTAGCGACTGTTCACATCTCCCTAATTTATAAAATCTAAAAGAGTGCTTGGCTGATCATATTATGAAACAAATGCCTGTCTGACAATTTCAACGCCTACTTAGAAAATCTTGTTTTCTGAAAAAACTAAGCTTGTGCAATGTCAACGTTTGACATATTATACAACAAAATACAAAATTAAAAGCTCTGTCCAGCTGTGCAAAAATCCAATGCTGTGCCCAAAAAGGGAAAATAAAATAAAGTTGATGATTGAGGACAAGAAACGAAACGTCATGTTGAAATTCTAGTTCTGTTAACTGCTAGAGGAGAAAAAGTGTCAATGTGTAATTTATTAAGACTTAGAACATTAATTTGATCATCAGAACATGAACTATCATTATACAAATTTTCATCCAATTTGACGGGTGCTTTCGGAAGTCATTTTTCTCGAAGTTCCCGGTTCGTAGGCTCTTCAATCCAGCTTCTTTCTCCTGGGTAGGTTTACGTGAGCAATGTGAGCGATTCACTGCTGCACCAATCTAAATTTAGTCTGATTTTCCTGGATGCATCTCGAAAAAAATGAGTACCGTCTTCCTTGCACTGAACCGCTCTATGCTCTTTCCAACGAGTACAATGTATTGCGTCTGGAATTCTGAGGGAATCATGTTGATGGAGAGCAGTGTACACCAGAGATGTAAATCACGAATCTGATGTAGCTTTTTTCCTGAGATAGGTTTGAACGTCCCATCACCCTGCTCCAAATAGCGTTCCAAATTACCTCAATATAGGTACTTAGTTTCGTTGAATTGTAACTATGGTCGTTCAAAATGAAATTTTTGCAATGAAAAACTAAGAGCTACTGAAAAAATCGAAAATTCCGCGATCAAGACCTCCTTCTTGAGTACATTTGCTGCGTAGATCATGAATCTGATATCATTTTTTTAATGTGAAAGATTTATCGTCCCGAAAGCCCCACTTTAGAATTTTTTTGATTGCCATATATGAATTAGCATCACAAATCACTCCAGCGTACCGTACCGAGCTTTGTCGACTTGCAACAACTGGAACGAAAATGGAAATTTTGCTTTGGAAAGCTTGAAAGTTTAAACGGCATACTATACTATGGATTTCTGATGTTTCTCTTTGTTTTTTTCAAATATTGTATAAACAATAGCAATCAACGAGTAAGAACAAGCCAAGGCATTCCTGAAAGTGCTGATGTTGCTTCTGGTGTTCCCCAAGGATCCGTACTTGGTCCTTGGGGAACACCTAATATTTAATCTATACTTTAGAATTGCCTATCGCTTTAGAACGCTGTTGTATACAGACTTATGCGGTCGATACCCAACTGACTTTCACTATTGACGTAACTAACCTTGATCAAGTACCATATAAAATTAATTTAGGACTGATGAACATGTGGATAACAATCGCACAACTAACTGTTTGAAGCTTAGTCCTACACAAAGTTTTGCAATGCTATTGTGTCTTAAAAACAGCTGTGGCCGCTTTGAAAGGACGATTGATTTGAGGGGAAATAATGTCCATATTCCCCTGGTCATTCATGGAAAAGTTTAGGTGTCACTTGGACGTAAATCTTATATTTCGTCGCCACGTCAGTAATATGTTGAAAGCTTCATATACAAGCTTGCGGCTCCTATATTCCTATCGTTCCATTTTCAAGACTCGAAAGAAATTAGTAGAGTATTCTTAATTATGGCTAAACTGCTTTACCGTTTCATCCCATTTCAACTTTCTCTTGACTCCATAACCAAACCCAGATTGCAGAACTGTTGCTGCCGTTTTGTTTTCGGTCTTCCTAGGTACAGCCGTGTTACATTTAAGATTTGGGAGTTGAGGTGGCTGAAGCCCAAAAATATTTTTCATTTTTTAATTTTAGTTTTTATACACAAAATAATCATCACCACGAGATCTAATCAAGTAAGTAACTTGCTCGTAGAAATCTAATTACAGGTTACCCCATGATAACCAGTTCGAAGTCCTCTTCACCGTACTTCATCGCATGAAAGATCTTTTACGTAAACTACCGCCCAGTTATACAATTTACTCAGTACGTGTAACAAAAAAAAAGGTTTCCTGCCTTAAAAAAATCGCTTAGAAAACATCTATATGCAAACATCTCTCAATGCCTGAGTTATTGAGCCGTACTCATAAAACAAAGGATATCCTTGTACTTGCAAATTTTAAAGGAAATCCTCTAGTTGGTATTTATAATAACACTGATCAACAGCCAAAAAATATCCTAAATAAGATCAACAAAATATTACCATTTTTAATGTGCTAAAACCGGAATGAAACTTATTTTTTCAATATTAGTTCAAGTTTTAGAGATACGGTAATTATATGTGTTCCTGCTGTGACAGTGTTAATATACTGTAATTCACAAGAATGCACGTGCTACATTTTTATGTTCGGCAAGGAAAGATGATGTAATCGGCATGATTGTGTTACGTTATACATACGTGTACATTATATTGTTTTATGCTAGCCATTTTTTCCTCAGTTGGCTGACAACGTTCATGCAAGATGTCTCGAAAGTGTGTAAACAATCCAGATCAGTTTTGTTACGTGTGTGGTGATGTGACTTTTGCGTCTCAGAGACGGTCTATTACTCCACTAATAACAAAGGCATATCAGCTTTATTTCGGTTGTAAACTAGGTGATCAAGACAAACAGTGGGCACCCCACATCTGCTGTAATACATGTGCTTCAAGTCTGAGGAGCTGGTTAAATGGCAAAAAACGGTCTATGCGCTTTGCTGTCCCAATGGTTTGGAGAGAGCCTACAAATCATATTAATGATTGTTACTTTTGCATGGTACCTTGTGTTGGACAAGCCACAGGTATGTCCAAGAAAAAAAATCGGTTATTAACTACCCAAACATACCATCTGCGATGAGACCTGTGCCTCACAGTGACGAAAATCCTATTCCAAAACCCCCAGAATCCTACACTTGCGAATCAGAAAACGAATCAGATCATGGCGATCGAGTGATTCGTCAGAAAGAAGATATGCCATCAACGTCAAGAGATCCTGATTTTATACCGAGCACGTCATGCCACCAACCGCACAAAATAACACAGTCAGAATTAAATGATCTTGTAAGAGATTTAGAACTTCCAAAATGTAAGGCAGAGTTACTTGGATCAAGACTGCTGCAGTGGAACTTATTAGAAGACGATGTTTCGGTATGTGTTTTTCGTAAACACCACAAAGACTTAGAACCATTTTTCAATATGGAGAATAACTTGGTTTTCTGCAGTAACATTAACGGCTTACTGGCGGCTTTAAATATATATACTATAACCCAGAAGAATGGAGATTGTTTATAGACAGTTCAACACTGAGTTTAAAGGCAGTGTTATTGCATATTGGAAATATTTTACCATCTCTTCCTGTAGGGTATGCAGTTCACATGAAAGAATCATACGACAATATGAAGTACCTATTGACATGCATAAAATACGATGAGCACCAATGGCATATTTGTGGCGATTTGAAAGTTGTTGCACTTTTACTTGGGCTGCAGCTAGGCTACACAAAGTTTTGCTGTTTTTTGTGTGAATGGGACAGTCGGGCAAAGGCACTTACACCAGACAAAACTGGCCTGTTCGTCAATTCCTAGAGCCAGGTCAAAAAAATGCATATCAAGTTGGGCCTAATGAAAAACTTTGTCAAGGCATTAGATAGAGATGGGTCTGTTTTTCAATACCTGCGTCAGAAATTTCCAAGACTAAGTGAGGCAAAGGTTAAAGAAGGTATTTTTGTTGGGCCACAGATTCGAAATATTTTGAAAGATACACAGTTTGAAAACACTTTAACAGGTATTGAAAAAACTGCTTGGAATGATTTCCGTCTGGTGGTCACTAATTTCTTGGGAAATAGAAAAGCTGACAACTATAAAACCCTTGTCAAAAATATGCTGTCATCATATCAAAAGATGAGCTGTAATATGTCTCTTAAGATACATTTCCTACACTCACACCTGGACTTTTTTCCTGACAATTGCGGAGCCGTAAGTGATGAGCACGGCGAACGTTTTCATCAGGATATTTCAACAATGGAAAAAGGTACCAGGGAAAGTGGAATCCTTCCATGCTTGCAGACTACTGTTGGACTCTTGGTAGAGATGCTCCAGAAACGATCCATAAAAGAACAGCAAAAAGACAGCGCATATAGTGATTCTTATAAGTATATGAATCTTGTTACTTTTTTTAATATATCCTTAAAAATAAAAAGTTTTTTTCTAAACCGCAACTAATTTTTTTATTTCATTGTCATTTTTGGATTCAGCGCCCCAAAATTAACAAAGAAGTGCACTTTTCCCAGAAGATACAATTAAAAAACTAAAATTTGTTGTCCAGTGTAATTTGAAGTAAATGCTTTTGCTTTTTGAGTATAATCATATCCTTCAAAGCAGTGACATAAGTAAAAGGATATTCATAATCTTCACCTTATACTTGGCATAGGAAGCATATCCTTAAAAAATTTTGAGTGTGGTCAGTAGCAGATTCAACTTCGTAACGAAAGGTGGTCAAACGATAAGGGCGGCAATTGTGGATGTTAGGGACGTTAAAACGTACAAACTTAATTTACCTTCACTTGATCGTGACTTCAAAAATTATATCGGTTCGACGAAGCAAATGTACAATGGCTTGCGGAAAGATTTTTAGTTGAGAATGAGGAAACTCGTAGAGGAGCACTTTCATGTATTCATAGAATAAAGATATGTCTTCGCTGTCTCGGTGACACTCGATATCAACAAGGAACTTGGTGTTAGTCAAGCAATGGCATCTCGGGCTGTGGTTAGATTTGTGAACAGCATAGTTGCACAGTCGAGCGAACGGATCAAGTTTCCAGCTACCAACCATGAACTGATGGAGGCCAAGCGGATATGGCAAAGCATGTATAAATTTGCGACAGCAATTGGTGTAATTGATTGTACACATATAGGAATCCTGAAACCAAATCGGCATGGAGATGAGTATATCAACCAAAAAGGAAACCCACTTTAAATGTGCAAGCCAATTGTGATGCCAGAGAGATGTTCACAAGTATTGATATCAGTTGGCCTGGATAGTGCATGATTCCAGAAAATGGAGAAATTTACAGACTAGATCACAACTAATAAATAAAGCAAATGTTGTACTACTTGGCGATGACGGTTATGGTATTGAGCCGTGCCTTATGACTCCCTTCAGAAATCCTCCTCCAGGTGCAGAAATAAATCATAATAAGCTTTTAAAACAAGAAAGAGTTATAATTGAACGCTGTTTTGGCCAACTGAAACGCCGGTTTCCTATCCTACAGTATGTTTGCCGCGTAAAGTTGGAAAATGTGCCGAAAATAATTATTTCTTGTATTGTACTCCATAATGTTGCGAAGAGCTTGGGTGATCCTGACTTTGAGTTAGTTGAAGACCGAGATAAAGATGAAGGAAATCATGAGAATGACGAACTTCATCTCCACCAACTAGGCCAACAAATAAGAAGAAACTTGAGTATTATAATGAATAGTTTTACTGATTAAAGTGTATTTATATGTTATAATCAGTTTTATTTCCATGAACATCATAAGCTACAGGTGGATTCTGACGCTGCATCATTTCTAGTTCCGTTTTATAATACTCTTGTCGTAAAATACTTGTTTGGTACTGCTGTAATAGCACAAGATATTGCAGTGCTTTTGTAGTTAACCCTTTGGTTTCCTCAGTGTCGTATTTCTCTTTTGCTAATTTTCTTTTTGTCGGCAATGTCTTCTGAATTGCTGGCGCTATAATACTAACTGTTTGCTCACTGCGCTCGGTATATAGTTGACTTCCTTCATCTTGAACACTTCCAACGTGAATGGCACCTCTAATTTTCCCAATTGTAGGATTACAGTCACCTTCCATAGCTTTCAGCAACTTTCTTTCCCAATCTAACAATTTAATTGCCTCATTACCAGTTTTTTTCTTCGATATTGATTTCATGTTGTTGATTTTTTTTAATAAGCCTTTAGTATCTAGTGGTTAACCGAATGTTGATTGGTATTTTTTCAACATCTTCTTCAAGGCAATGTCCTTTCTCATTTTTATTTCTGGAACCTGTGACTTTTGAAAAATAATGGGAGCAATGGCAATTTCATCTGCGGTCATTGCCATTACTTTCTATAGTTTCCTCATCACTTGAGGATGACATGCTTATTAAATTGATAAAAAACTGAATCCAGTAAAAATACGGAACGGTCCGTGTAAGCTCTGGAGTACAACTGTCAGTGATGATGAGTGAACGAACTCCCACGTCAACTACAAGCTGGAACAAGTCAGGACATGTCGCTCAAGATACAAATACCAGTCAACCTTTTACTTCTTCTTGGAGGATATCCTCGCGAGTATGAGGTAATCATTATGAATATGAAAACAAGGATATGCTTATACTTCTACCTTTTTCTTCGAAGCAAGACCTTATACTTTCACCTTATGCTTCCGAAGATATGCTTCTCTTTTATGAATACGGCTCATTGTTTTGTTATTCTTTAATTCTTATTCATTCGTTCATGTTTCTAATGTTACCTTTTTTCTTTGAGGCTTGTTACGTTTGTACATAGTATGATTTCATAACTATTCTGTAGTTGGTTTACGTTGCATGTGTGAACTTTTTGTTATGTTTCGTCCATATTGTGGTTAAATGGAACAGTAGCCGTCCAGCTAAACTTCGCCATAATAAAATCACTTTATTACTGTTATAATTATCGTTATAAAAGAATGAAAACTTATTGAGCATCGGCGATCTTGATCACAGCCTGTTCCTTGAGTAAATTAGATACGTAGATTATGAATCTAATGTCAGTTTTCAGACGGGATAGCTAGCTGCCATACTCCACATAGGAATTTGAATATAACTGATTCATCTGAATTCGAATTAAGCATGTTTTGCATTGTAGTCTACTTCCATTTAGTTGGATCGAATACCGAATTGCACCATTTGACTAAGTTGATGTACATGTAATAAATAAAATTGTTGTTATTCATTTAAGCAGATCCGGTTGCGTGTTTTTCCAGCAATACAGCTCAGGCGTTCTCATTCGCTATCTCTGTCGTGTCGACTTAACTATGGAATGATCAATCCCACTCCGTCATCCACTTATGCGCGTTGGACATATGTACATGAATTAATCCGAGGATTTGATACTCAGATTTAACGAATATTCTTACATTACTTGTGTATGCAGCAAGATGGCCGCAGTAATAGACTCTTCGGCCTCCTGGTTAGTCGCCGTGCGCTGTGCGGGTTCGAATCCCGTCCCAGGAGAATTTTTTCTCTTGGCTATGGATGATGTGTTGTCCGTAGGTGGTAGACGGCCTCTGACTGTCGAACGCGGATGCATGCACACGTGTTCCCTCGCCAGAGTCCGTGTGTCGTTCCCCCTTTCCCCTGTATCCCCCTATAGCCCCACGGTACCCAATAGATGATTAGGCCTTCGTGGTAGCTGGAGTATAAAAAAAAGGAGCATGGGCACAATCCGACTCTGTAGCAGCGTCGGATCGTCTGGCCGCCGCGAGTCCACGTGCCGTGGTCACCGCAGTGCCACAGGCATCCAGGCAGTACGGTCGCGCAGTCCGGCCCTGGTACAACCGCCGCCGCTGTAAAATTGTTGCGGCAAACCGTCATCGTCAACGCCGCTGAACGCTCTCCTCAGCGAGTACGGCTGGCACGCCGCGGCAGCCCGACTACCTGTTGCTGCGTCTTGCATGCGAACAAACGTACGTTCCGTTCTTTAGTGTTGGTTAGTGTCAAGAGATTTCGCCGTATGAACTCTCATTTTCGCGAGGAAAATCGATGATTTTTCGCAAACACCGCGCCGGTAAAAGATACACAAATATCGTGTTAGTGGTTTGATTTTGGATAGACAGTGATTTGGTTAACGGATGCTGGACTGGGACCAACGGAGAAAAGAGAGAAATCTACCTGCAGCTCATCTGCCGGTAAGTCAGTCGGACAGGTCTGGTTGGTGATGCGATCTTTGACGTTTGATACCGGATTTTTATTGGACATTTCATGATTTTTCAGCCGTAAACTCGATATGGTAGCTCGTGAGGATTAGGTCTGGAAATTGGGATTTGAAAAGTAGGGTTATGTCACCTAGTCTAGTATGACAGAGAGAAGTTACTTTTTGGTTATTACAAGTAGTACATACCTCGCAGTTAATATGCGCTGTTAAAATATTGATGTAAATACATCGAGCCAAATAATTCTGAAAAAATATAAAAAACGTTCATTAAGAATAAACTAAATTTTATTTTTTGCTAGACGTATTAAATATATCAAATGAATCCTTTGGTGCAGAAAGGTGTAACTCAGATTTTATGGTTTGGAGATAATCGGCCTCAAAGTTTCAATCCTAACATATTTTTGAATAGTGTTAGGGCTGCTTTTATTATTGAAAGTTATATTAGACACATAAATGTATCTCCAAGAGACAGTTTTGTTAAAAAAAATGTTTTTATTATCAGAAATTTGAGACTGTGTGACTTGCAATTCTAAAAAACTCATTTTTACATTTTAAACGAAAACTGAATTCATTTTGTCATATAATCTTACAAGCTAAAAGTGGACATATGTTACCCTATCCATTCAAAAAACAATCCAAACGTAAAAATCAGAAAAACAAAACGAAACGTGTTCGAATGTAAACAAATTTAAATTTGGGTGCAAAAACGTGTTAACAACAAAGAGTTAGATTCATTTATACAAAGTATAAAAAGGCGAGGTGTCGATAAAAAGCGTATTTCAACTTAACCCAACAAATATTTGTGTAAATTTTCTAATCCGAATGAGAACAAAATACCTGTAACGAGTCCATATTCCTGGCCTAGAGTGCCTAGACCATTAGGTACTGGGCAATGAAACCAGAGATGAAATGCTTCAATCTTTTTTTGAAATTCTTTATAGAATATACATATGTACGACCTATTAAATGGAGATGTTGAATGTCTCGGGATAACCAAGATGTGCTTATTCTGTGTGTTCAGTTGATTAACATCTGAGTGTCTGATAAATTTGGTTGATAGATATGGAGAGGCTTGTGTTGTGATTACTTTATGGGTCAAGGTCAATTCGTGCATTTTTTGTAGCACTTTTATTTTTTGAACACCCAGCTGACGATATTTTCTCACTCCACAAGCAAATCTGAGACACGCATTTAGAATAGTCTGAAGTCTCCTTATCTTAATCGATCTTAGAGCAGGCCCATAAATACAGTCACAGTAGTGAATTCTAGACCATATTAAGGTTTCGCACAACTTTAGCCTGAGACCAGTATCCATACTTTGCCTATGAGGAAATAATTGCTTCAAGACACCAAATGATGTTCGGCACAGTTCACTAACATGTTTGTCAAACATCAAATCATAATCAATCCAGAGTCCTAAATTCTTGCATTCATTTTTTATAGGGATCGGTTGGTCTAAAATGCTCAATGATAGTAATGGTTTTGCCTGACTTTTTTTGATTTTTGGTCCAAATATAACTGCGGATGATTTTCATGGGTTAATTTTCAGATTATGGGCACAAGATACGTTAGATAAATTTATTAAATCAGTATTAATCAAATGTTCGGCATTTTTTAAATCTTTAATATCAAAGCCAAAGTACAATTGAGTGTCGTCAGCATAGTAGTGAATACTGCAGTGTTCAACGTACTCGTGGAAGTCAGAAATGTAAATTGAGAACAATAATGGTCCCAGAATGGAACCCTGTGGTTCCCCTAGTTTAACTGGTATCTCCTCCGAGATACTTGACCCAATCACAACCATCTGAATCCTGTCAGTGAAATAACTTAATACAAAATTAATTGCAGATTCCGAAAAACCAAAGTATACAGGGCGTTTCAGTTTATTGTTGCATAACTTCAAGATTCGATAGAACTTTTAAAATTAATGCATAAAGTCTATATAAACATGGGTCGAAAAATGCGTGGCTTCCGAAATACAGGGTGTTTAAATTTACTTTTTAAAATAGTTTTTTTAAAATATTTCGAACAATATTTGATGTATAACAGTGAAAATCGGTATACAAGGGTTTTTTGGTACGACAAAACGAACCATGGGCATAGTTTTACTGTAGCCGCTAGAGGGCGCTCTCTACTGTACCTGTAGTGTATTAAAATGACCAAACATTTTTTCTTAGTGCAATTTTTTTGCTTTTTGAATAAAAAAAACTTATTCTTCGTACTTTTCTGCATAAAAAAGCTCTCCTGTGAGTTATCGTTATAGTTAGCCGTTTTTGAGATATTTCGATTTTTAAGGTTCGATGCATTTTTAATTATTTATGGGAAAATAATATTTTTTTTACATTTTCGATTTGGGCATTACAAGTAATTAAGATGATTGTTTAGATTGTGTTTTTAAACACCGCAATAATTTCTAACTCCAAATAAACACAAAAAAACAAAATATTAATTTGTTTAATTTTCCAATATTATTTTTAACAAATTAAATTAATTATTTACAACTAAAATGCTATTGGATAGTTAGGAGAAACATACAAAATCTAAAGTAGTTGCTCGAAATGTAAACCCCATTATTCAAATAAGGCCTTATTTCATCACATGCATTCCTGACTCTGTCTATTAGCATATCTCTTGTGGTTACGGGAGTCTGGTACACTTGTTCTTTTAGAAATCCCCACACAAAGAAATCTAATGGATTTAGGTCAGGAGATCGTGGAGGCCAGGCGACTGGTCCTCCACGGCCGATCCATCTTTCTGGATAATTTTCGTCCAGCCAGTTTCTAACTATTCTCGAATAATGAGCTGGACAACCATCAAGCTGGAACCAGACCAATCTTCTTAAATCTAACGTAACATCATCCCACATATTTGCATGTTCAGCTTTTAAAAAATTCCAAGAAGGTCGCAGCATTTAACCTTGCAGGCAAAAGGTAGGGTCCAAATAGTCGATTACGGTAGATACCAATCCACACGTTCACACTCAATTCATGCTGAAAATTTCTTTCCCGAACTGCATGCGGATTTTCATGCGACCAGATATGTTGATTATGAAAATTTACCACTCCACGTCTAGTGAAGCATGACTCATCGGTCCATAAAACGTTACTTAAAAACTCCCTATTATTATCAGTTCTATCAAGAATCCACTGACAAAATGTGATTCTTCATTCTCCGTCCCCTGGCTGTAGTCCTTGCACAGGTTGCAAATGGTAAGGACGTCTATGGTCATTTCTAAGAACACGGTGAACATGGCTTGCTGAAATTCCCAAGGCACCAGAAACTCCCCTAACACTTGTGGTTGGATCTCTATCAAACTCCCGCAGAATCAGACGGGTAAATCTGCGCTGACGAACATTTATGTTTTGATCCCTTTGGAGATTTCCAAAACCATTTTCAATTATTTGGCGATGCACTCTTACAAATACTGAGCGAGTTGGATGTCGTCTGTTAGGAAATCTTCGTGCGTATTCTCTGGCTGCTTCTGCTGCGTTTCCATTTACAAAGCCATACTCAAAATGAATATCCGCTAACTCTTGATTGGAGAATAAAAATAGCATTTTTATAAAACTTACAAAAAAACAGGTAAAAGAAACTAAATTTCGTGCATTCAGAATTGCAAAAAAACGTTTCAGGTTTCAACAGACAACAAAACTGTCAACTAATTGATGTTTAACCTTATTCTGCTTTCAATTTCAAAAATACTTGCAGGCACAGCCTACTTCTAAAAATTATCGAGATACTGACTTTTTAACGTTATTTTAAAATAAATAATTAAAAATGCATCGAACCTTAAAAATCGAAATATCTCAAAAACGGCTAACTATAACGAAAATTCACAAGAGAGCTTTTTTATGTTGAAAAGTACGAAGAATCAGTTTTTTTGTTCAGAAAACAAAAAATTGCACTAAGAAAAAAATTTCGGTCATTTTAATACACTACAGGTACAGTAGAGAGCGCCCTGTAGCGGCTACAGTAAAACTATCCCCATGGTTCGTTTTGTCGTACCAAAAGACCCTTGTATACCAATATTCACTGTTATACATCAAATATTGTTCGAAGTATTTAAAAAAAACTATTTTAGAAAGTATATTTAAACACCTTGTGTTTCAGAAGCCATGCACTTTTCGACCCATGTTTATATAGACTTTATGCATTAATTTTAAAAGTTCTATCGAATCTAAAGTTATGCAACAATAAACTGAAACACCCTGTATAAGCTTTTTCACAAGAATATATGGTTCCAGAGTATCAAAAGCCTTGTATAATCAAGTAACACTAAGCATGCCAAATTTCACATCTGATTAAGTCCTCCGTGACGCTATCCAGAACTGTTGTTGTGCTGCGGTTTTTCCTGAAACCCGATTGGATTTCAGGAATGATACCATTAGATAAGACGTAGTTAGATACCTGATGTTTCATGGCTAGTTCTAATAACTTGGAAAATGCTAGTAGTAGATATATTTATCGGCCTCAGATGTGAAATATCTGTAGAGTTACTTATTTTAGCTAGTGGGGAACATTTGTTTTTTTGCAACAGTTGGGGAAGTTTGTTGATGCAATTGCATAGTTGATGATGAAAGATATATTTTATATAATGTGAGAGTTAACACCTTTTAAAGTTTACAGGTTGAAGTTTTTGATATAGTTAACACTTTTAAGAATCTCTGTATCTAATAACTGAGAGCCATCTTTGGCCGGATAGATCTACCACCAAAAAAGCACCCTTTTGACACCTTGCACTA